CCCAGAATTCCCCAGCCAGCATTTGCTGGCTGGGGAATTCTGGGAGTTGAAGTCCGGACATCTTCAAGTTGCCAAGGTTGAAAAACACTGCCTTACACAACATCTGCCAATAAAATAAACACCTATGCAAGTTTATCAGAAAGTGTCTGACAGCTCAACCACTGCAGCACAACCAGTGCGAACCATGAAAAGGATAAGACTGCCGTACATCAGAAACATCTCACAAAAACAACAATGGACTCTTACTGTGATGGCGAAACTTTGGCACGCGTGTTACAGGTGGCACACACAGCCCTCTCTGTGGGCACACGAACCATCGCCCCAGCTCAGCTCCACTGCGCATGTGTTCGCGCCTCCCGCCAGCCAGGTGATTTTCAGGCCTCGGCTGCACATGCGCAGGGTGCGGAGCACATGTGGAAGATGCGTGTACATGCACAGAGCGGGGTGGGAGTGTCACGCAGGCATGCGGGGGGGAGCATGTGGGGATGCGGCACCCCCCAGCCCATTTTTGCTCCCAGGAGGCTGCAGGGGGGCCTACTACAAGGGGGACACGCACGCATTGCATTATGGGTGCGGGTGCACACGCTTCTGCCATGTGACGAGGAAAAGCTTAGCTATCCCTGGACTCTTACAATCTCCTGGCATCACCTGGAGGTGGATTAGCTCCTGGGGCAGGTTCTTTGTTATTAGCATCTCTGCACCTGCTACAGGTAGCCTTCGAGCTGCAATAGTTCACTTAGTGACTTTTATAAGTCCTTGACTTATAAATGTTCATTTAGTGACCATTCGAAGTTACCATGGCACTGGAAAAAGTGACTTATGACCATTTTTCACACTTAGGACCACTGCAAAATCCTCACGGTCACATGGTCAAAATTGAGGTGCTTGGCAATAGACTCATATTGACAGAGCTCTGGGATCAAGTGATCCACCTATTGTGATCTTCTGACAAGAAACGTTTATGGCAGTGTTTCTCGACCTTAGCAACTTGAAGATGTCCGGACTTCAACTCCCAGAATTCCCCAGCCAGCGAATGCTGGCTGGGGAATTCTGGGAGTTGAAGTCCGGACATCTTCAAGTTGCCAAGGTTGAGAAACACTGGTTTATGGGGAGCCAGATTCACTTAACAACTGTTTGACTAACATAACAACTGCACTGACTCACTTAACAACTGTGCCAGGAAAGATTGTAAAATGGGTCATTTTGCCTTTTTCACAACACATCACACATTTCTAATTACCTTTCCTTGGTATCTGGAATAATATCAAGTTTCAATTTGTTAATGTATTTCTTTTTGCCATACTCATGCTCAGTACAACCACAATTCCTGATAAACAAACAAATTCCAAAGATTTGGTATTTAATTAGATTAACATCTTTAATATTTAAAGATTTTTCCATAAATCTACTAATATACCTTTAATATACGATGCCAAAAAGATTTTAAATGGTCACATGACCATGTTGTGTGGACCAGTAAGCATCAACTTTCTTACGTCTTCAGCAGAAATAAAACTTGTTTCCATCCTTAAAAATGCATTTTTTGGGGAGGCCAATTCATCCTAAATACAGTTTTTGATAAATCAACCTTAACCTCAAATCTGTAGGTTCCATTATAATATTGTTAAGGTCCTGAAGCCTTTGCTAACGTTACAGTTACAATGTCAACTCACTCGTGATATATTTTAAAAGAAATTATTGTGCTTATGCATGTGTGGTCTTAAATCAGTGAAATGTGTGGTTGGAAGCTTTTATTGTTGTTGCTGTGGTTGTAGAGATTGTCAGAAAAAAAATGTCCTTACTAGCTAAAGTAATTATACTTATTTTATGCACTCTGGGGGTATGCTGTGACTAGTGATGGATCACGAGAAAGTTTGAATACGCACTTTGAGAATAGCTATTATGATATAATCTGGGATGATTGTTGTTGAGGCCCAATTGCTCTAAAGTTGACTTTTTGACAGAAATTAAAACTAACCACCCTTTCCATATTACATATTACATTTCACAGAGAAGAAAATCCTTGCTTTGATGGAGGATTTTATTTTGCTTTAAAAGAAAGCTATTTTTTAATTTTATGCTGATTTGGTGAAAATAGTTTATAGCAATAGCAGTAGCAGTAGACTTATATACCGCTTCATAGGCCTTTCAGGCCTCTCTAAGCGGTTTACA